TTCGTCTGTAATGAGAAATGACAGTGCTTCCTGATCTTGGGAAAAGAGGTTTGTTCTTTTGTTTTGTTGTGGCTACACTAAGCTTTCATTGCTGTGTGTGGGTTTTCTCTTGTTGCAGCAAGCGGGGGCTACTCTATTATTGTGGAGCATGGACTCTAGACCATGCAGGGATTGAACCCACAGCCCTGCGTTGGCAGGCAGATTCTTAACCACTGGACCACCAGAGAAGCCTGACAAATGAGGTTTTAATTGTGGATTTTTTCCTTCAGATCACATTGCTTAACTATGTAGAATTTTGTGGCTATTAAGAACTTTATATAACTGATAAAAGGAGATACCATATGTCATCCTGTCATTGAAGGCTAATTTACATGCTGAAAAATGACAAAAAAGTGGTGGGTAAGATCTGAAAGAGACACGTGCACCCCAATGTTCATCGCAGCACTGTTTATAATAGCCAGGACATGGAAGCAACCCAGATGCCCATCAGCAGACGATGGCTAATTCATTTCAATGTATGACAAAAATTACTGTAATGATGTAAAGTAATTAGCCTCCAACTAATAAAAATAAATGGAAAAAAAAAAAAGTAAAAAAAAAAAGTGGTGGGTAACACATTTTAAAAAATCTTAATAGCATTAAAAATTATAATACAGTAAGAAATTGTAAGCCCCAAAATGAAAACAAAACAAAAAACAGTTATGCAGAAGAGAAGGACAGAACCAAAGCCTAGGACCGTAGCAGGGACTCTAATAGGACAGAGCTACCCTGGAAGCTCAGCTTTTTAAGAATCTGCCTGCAATGCAGGAGACCCTGGTTTGATTCCTGGGTTGGGAATATCCCCTGGAGGAGGGCATGGCAATCCACTCCAGTATTCTTGCCTGGAGAATCCCCATGGACAGAGGAGCCTGGTGGGCTACAGTCCACGGGGGGCTCACAAAAAGTCAGACTCGACTGAACGACTTAACACAAAGCACAAATAGGACAGGATGACCAAGAAGTGGAACAGCCCTCATGGAAACATGGCCAGTTTTCAAATCACCTGGGTTGACAAAGTTTAAACTTGCTTTAAAGTGACCCAAAACGTGACAGAGGCAAACGCAACTCTTCTCTGAAGTGAGTTCAGCTCAGTCTCTTGGTCATGTCCAACTCTTTGTGACCCCATGGACTGAAGCACACAAGGCTTCCGAGTCCATCACCAACTCCTGGAGCTTGCTCAAACTTATGTCCATGAGTTGGCAATGACATCCAACCATCTCATCCTTTGCTGTCCCCTTCTTCTGCTGCCTTCAATCCTTCCCAGCATCAGGGTCTCTTCCAGTGAGTCAGTTCTTCACATCAAGTGGCCAAAGTATTGGAGCTTCAGCTTCAGCACCAGTCATTCCAGTGAATATTCAGGACTGACTTCCTTTAGGATGGACTGGTTTGATCTCCTTGCTGTCCAAGGGACTCTCAAGAGTCTTCTCCAACACCACAGTTCCAAAGCATCAATTCTCTGGCACTCAGCTTTCTTTGTGGTCCAACTCTCACACCCATACATAACTACTGAAAAAACCATAGCTTTGTCTAGATGGACCTTTGTTGGGAAAGTGAAGTCTCTGCTTTTCAATATGCAGTCTAGGTTGGTCATAGATTTCCTTTCAAGGAGCATAGCTTTTCTTCCAAGGTGCTTTACTTTTTCTGAAGTAAAGCACCTCAATTCTTGGCCTCAGGCCATTTCTACAAATAGTTTTTCAAGTACAATGTCCAAACCTCAGCTGAAGAATAACGATCCCTCCCTCAAAAAAAAAAAAAAAAAAAAAATGGACTCTATCAGCAAAAGTAAAGAGAAATAACAAACCAAAACATACCCACAAAGTCTTCAGGCATTGGATTTATCAGATACATGCTATAAAACAGCTGTGCAAACTAATTTTAAGTGAATGAGGAACAAGAATGACAATATTGCTAGGAAAAAAGGGTTAGATAACTGGATTATAGGTTGTTACAACAAAGAAATCCAGTAAGAAAACAAACAATGTCAAACTAGAAAGAGAAAACGATGGAAAATAAAGAACATATGGTAGACTTAGATGAAGACCAAGCAATACAAAAATCTAAAATACAATCAGATGGAGTACCCCAAGGGGAGGATAAGAGGGCAGAGGGCAATATTCAAAGAAATGATGGATAACGTCAAGCACATGATGAAAAACAGCCGTTCTGACTCCAGAAGCTCAACACATCCCAAGCAATACAAGTAAAAAGTGAAATAAATAGTGAAACTAAAGAAACCCAAAATATAAAGAATTAAAAAGCAGCCAGGGAAAATAAAATGTATCATCCTCAAAAAGGCAAACATTAGTAGAAATTAGAAATCATCTGATTTCTTCAGAACAACAAAAGAAAGAAGACAATTGAAAATATCTTTAATATATTTAAAAGAAAATAACCACCAACCTAGAATTTTATAGCAACCAAAATTATCTATCAGAGATGAAGAAAAAAATAATTTTCAGACAAAAACTAACAGAGTTTCGCCAAGTGCACAATCTCACTACAGGACTATAAAAAGGTATCTTTCAGGCAAAGAGAAAATGATCCCAGATGGAAGGTCTGAGTTGGCAGAAAAATTAAAGGGTAAAAAGTTAACAGATTTTTGTTCAGTCGCTCAGTTATGCCTGACTCTGAGACCCCCATGGACTGCAGCACGCCAGGCTTCTCTGTCCTTCATCATCTCCCGGAGTTTGGTCAAACTCATGTCCATTGAGCAGTGATGCCATCCAGTCATCTCATCCTCTGTCACCCCCTTCTCCTCCTGCCCTCAATCTTCCCCAGCATCAGGGTCTTTCTAATGAGTCGGCTCTTCGAATCAGGTGGCCAAAGTACTAGAGTTCACTTCAGCATCAGTCCTTCCAATGAATATTCAGGAACTGATTTCCTTTAGGACTGACTGGTTTGATCTCCTTGCAGTCCAAAGGGACTCTCAAGAGTCTTCTCTAACACCACAGTTAGAAAGTACCCATTCTTCGGCGCTCAGCTTCATTATGGTCCAACTCTCACATCCATACATGGCTACTGGAAAAACCATTGTTGTTCAGTCACGCCCAACTCCTTGTAACTCCATGGACTACAGCATGCCAGGCTTCCCTGTCCTTCACCATCTCCCAGAGCTTGCTCGAAGTCATGTCCAGTGAGTTGGAAAAACCACAGCACTGACTGTATGGACTTTCATTGGCAAAATTATGTCTCTGCTTTTTGATACACTGTCTAGGTTTGTCACAGCTTTTCTCCCAAGGAGCAAGCATCTTTTAACTTCATGACTGCAGTCGCCATCCACAGTGATTTTGGAGCTTAAGAAAATCTGTCACTGCTTCCACTTTTTCCCCATCTATTTGCCGTGAAGTGATGGGACCAGATGCAATGATCTTACTTTTTTGAATGCTGAGTTTTAAGCCAGGTTTTATGGTTAAAGTGTGGGGTTGCTGATAAGGGTAGGGTGTGTGCAGGGTCTCCTTTAATCTGGCCTCAGGTGGTCTCTCCAGTGAAGAATCCAACATCTTCCTTTTGTTGGGTGTATTAGTTACAGATGGACAGTATGATCTCTTCGTTTCCAAGGCAAACCATTCAATATCACGGTAATCCAAGTCTATGCCCCAACCAGTAATGCTAAACAAGCTGAAGTTGAATGGTTCTATAAAGACCTACAAGACCTTCTAGAATTAACACCCTAAAAAGATGTCCTTTTCATTATAGGGGACTAGAATGCAAAAGTAGGAAGTCAAGAAACACCTGGAGTAACAGGCAAATTTGGCCTTGGAGTACGGAATGAAGCAGGGCAAAGGCTAATAGAGTTCTGCCAAGAGAATGCACTGGTCATAGCAAACACCCTCTTCCAACAATGCAAGAGAAGACTCTACACATGGACATCACCAGATGGTCAACACCAAAATCAGATTGATTATATTCTTTGCAGCTAAAGATGGAGAAGCTCTATACAGTTAGCAAAAACAAGACTGGGAGCTGACTGTGTCTCAGATCATGAACTCCTTATGCCAAATTCAGACTTAAATTGAAGAAAGTAGGGAAAACCAATAGACCATTTAGGTATGACCTACATCAAATCCCTAACAACATACAGTAGATGTGAGAAATAGATTTAAGGGACTAGATCCAATAGAGTGCCTGATGAACTGTGGACAGAGGTTCATGACATTGCACAGGAGACAAGGAGCAAGACCATCCCCAAGAAACAGAAATGCAAAAAAGCAAAATGGCTCTCTGAGGCCTTACAAATAGCTGTGAAACAAAGAGAAGTGAAAAGCAAAGGAGAAAAGGAAAGATATTCCCATTTGAATGCAGAGTTCCAAAGAATAGCAAGGAGAGATAAGAAAGCCTTCCTCAGTGATCAGTGCAAAGAAATCAAGGAAAAGAATAGAATGGGTAAGACTAGAGATCTCTTCAAGAAAATTAGAGATACCAAGGGAGCATTTCATGCAAAGATGGGCTCAATAAAGGACAGAAATGGTATGGACCTAACAGAAGCAGAAGATATTAAGAGGTGGCAAGAATACACAGAAGAACTATACAAAAAAGATCTTCACAACCCAGATAATCACAATGGTGTGATCACTCACCTAGAGCAAGACATCTTAGAGTGAGAAGTCAAGTGGGTCTTAGGAAGCATCACTATGAACAAAGCTAGTGGAGGTGATAGAATTCCAGTTGAGTTATTTCAAATCCTGAAAGATGATGCTGTCAGAGTGCTGCACTCAATATGCCAGCAAACTTGGAAAAGTCAGCAGTGGCCACAGGACTGGAAAAGTTCAATTTTCATTCCAATCCCTAAGAAAGGCAATGCTCAAACAACCGCACAATTGCACTCATCTCACATGCTAGCAAAGTAATACTCAAAATTCTCCAAGCCAGGCTTTAGCAATACGTGAACCATGAACTTCCAGATGTTCAAGCTGGTTTTAGAAAAGGCAGAGGAACCCAAGATCAAATTACCAACATCCGCTGGATCATCGAAAAAGCAAGAGAGAGTGCGCTCCAGCTCGTGTTCCGTGTAAGACGTAGATCTGAGCGACCGAAGCCACGAGCGAGATGCTGGTGGCCGTGGGTCCCCATGGACAGTCCCAGCCAAGCTGCTTCGACCGCGTGAAGATGGGCTTTGTGATGGGTTGCGCCGTGGGCATGGCGGCGGGGGTGCCCTTCGGCAACTTTTCCTGTCTCAGGATCGGAATGCGGGGTCGGGAGCTGATGGGTGGCATCAGAAAAACCATGATGCAGAGTGGCGGCACCTTTGGCACATTCATGGCCATCGGGATAGGCATCCGATGCTAATCAGGGCAGTGGTTGCCCACAACACGCACCCCCTCCCATCAGTTCCATCCCAAGTGTACTATAATAAAGCAAGTCTTTGAGTAAAAAAAAAAAGAAAAAGCAAGAGAGTTCAAGAAAAACATCTATTTATGCTTTATTGACTATGCCAAAGCCTTTGACTGTGTGGATCACAATAAACTGTGGAAAATTCTCAAAGAGATGGGAATACCAGACTACCTGACCTGCCTCTTGAGAAACGTGTATGCAGGTTAGGAAGCAATAGTTAGAACTGGACATGGAACAACAGACTGGTTCCAAATAGGAAAAGGAGTACGTCAAGGCTGTATATTGTCACCCTGCTTATTTAACCTATATACAGAGTACATCATGAGAAACGCTGGGCTGGATGAAACACAAGCTGGAGTCAAGATTTCTGGGAGAAATATCAATATCCTCAGATATGCAGATGACACCACCCTCATGGTAGAAAGTGAAGAAAGAGCCTCTTGATGAAAGTGAAGGAGGAGAGTGAAAATGTTGGCTTAAAACTCAACATTCAGAAAACTAAGATCATGGCACCAGTCCCATCACTTCATGGCAAATAGATGGAGAAACAGTGGAAACAGTGGCAGACTTTATTTTTTTTGTGCTCCAAAATCACTGCAGATGGTGACTGCAGCCATGAAATTAAAAGACACTTACTCCTTGGAAGGAAAGCTATGACCAACCTAGACAGCATAGTAAAAAGCAGAGACATTACTTTGTCAACAAAGGTCTGTCTAGTCAAGGCTGTGGTTTTTCCAGTAGTCGTGTATGGATGTGAGAGTTGGACTATAAAGAAAGCTAAGCACCAAAGAATTGATGCTTTTGAACTGTGGTGTTGGAGAATACTCTTGAGATTCCCTTGGACTGCAAGATCAAACCAGTCCATCCTAAAGGAAATTAGTCCTGAATGTTCATTGGAAGGATTGATGTTGAAGCTGCAACTCCAATATTTTGGCCACCTGATGCAAAGAGCTGACTCATTGGAAAAGACCCTGATTCTGGGAAAGGTTGAGGGCAGGAGAAGGGGACAACAGAGGATGAGATGGTTGGATGGCATCACCAACTCAATGGACATGAGTCTGGGTAAACTCTGAGAGTTGGCGATTGAGAGGGAGGCCTGGCGTGCTGCCGTCCATGGGGTCGCAAAGAGTCAGACACGACTGAGCGACTGAACTGAACTGAACTTAGTTACAGAAGGTGCTTAAAGAAATTTTGTGTATGCCTTGAGGCAACCCTGCCCCAGGGCTGCACTAATGCTTTCTTGACTTTTTTTTTCCCTGTCTCTGTATCCCCTCCCTTCCCTGATGAGCAACTGTTTCTATGTGCCCTTTATGGCTCAGGGAAGGTGATGAAGGTTGGAATCTATTCCCTGAAAACAAGGCATAGGGGACACAGAAAGTCTTCTGTGCCCAGAAGCCCCACAGGGTCCTGCTGGTTTCAGAACTAAGCCCTGTAAATTTGGCTAATGGGACTGAAGAACTAAACTTTAAATCTTACTTAATTTTAATTAATTTGAACTGTGAATTTTAATTAATTTGAACTGTGGTGTTGGAGAAGACTCTTGAGTGTCCCTTGGACTGCAGGGAGATCCAACCAGTCAATCCTATGGGAAATCAGTCCTGAATATTCATTGGAAGGACTGATGCTGAAGCTGAAACTCCAATACCTTGGCCACCTGATGCGAATAACTAATTCATTGGAAAAGACCCCGATGCTGGGAAAGATTGAGGGTGAGAGAAGGGGACGGCAGAGGATGAGATGGTTGGATGGCATCACTGACTCAATGGACATGAGTCTGAGCAAGCTCCGGGAGTTGGTGATGGACAGGGAGGCCTGGCATGCTGCAGTCCATGGGGGTCACAGAGTCAGACACGACTGAACTAAATTTTAATTGATTTTTAAATTTTAAAAATGATACTTGATTTTTGGGAAAAAGTATATTTGACGTAACTTTAGTTTGTGAATCTACTTTTTCAGCTGTAAATTTAGTGAAAACTAAACCCACAGGGAGGAGGCCTCAAAGAGTTGGACACAACTGAGCAACTGAACTGAACTGAACTGAAACTCACATCATACATTTCCAATGAAGATTCAGCATCCAAATAGAAATTGACACTCAAGGTAAATTTAATATCACTTTTTGAACTTAACATGAAAATAATCATTCAAAATATCTCATTAATTTTATACTGAATATTTTGCATTCAACTGTCAGCTGAAAAAGACACTAGAAGTTGTGAGTTAAGTTCTATTCAGAAATCTTAACTGATGGCTATAGACCTTGCGACAGGCTCTTAGAGCTAAAGCACTGCTCCAAAGTTATAAGGGAGGTGCCAGGAATACATACAAACTTTTTGCTAGGAAAAGCATTCCTAGTGAAGCATAAAAAGATTACTGTAAATCACAAATAACAGACATCTTGAGTTAATGATTTTAGAGCTTTTCTACTTTGGGGAAGATGTTAGAATCTAGCGGTCACAGAAATTTTTCCATAGATATGTATATCTTATTTTTCTTGGGGCCAGTGAATCCAGACCACAGAATACTTGCCGTTTTTCCCCATCCTGAATTCACCTCAGGGTGCAGTCTTGGGGACACTGCAGTGGCTAATGCATGGAATCTTGCAGAACTGGCATGGCAGGCATTTTTTTCTTAACACAGTAAAAACACAAGTTTCAGCAATTGCTTCATACTTAAGGAGTGGCTACCTTAAAGCTACATATGAAACTCACATTTTTCCCCCAGTGGCCAGCAATGACCTAGATGGCCCAGCAAATAATAAAAAGCCCTGTAAAATGGTAGCTATTGTTTGTATGATAGGAATGAGAACGTCATTCTTCCGTGAAGATTAACAGCGCTTAACATTGAACGTTGAAAATTACTTAACATGATTATACAGTACCCCATTTGTCTCTGTAAAACCCTTAAGTCCTTTTCGCAACATGAAGAGCTAGAAAACAATTCTGACAAAGGACAGAGGAACAAAGGTAGCAACTATTATAAGTGGAGGATCTAGACCTGTGATTTCAAGCTTGGTCCCACGACCAGAAGAAGAAAACTGCCCCCGGACCCCAGACTCGCACCGCAGTTTTTGCCCCAGAGCAACGCCCAGGACCGGCGGCTGACCTCCCGGCCTAAAAACTTTTCTATTTCGTCCTAAAGGAAAAGAGCCCGAGGCCAGAAGGCTCCGGCGCTACCGACCTCTGCGCTCCGGGTGCCCAGTCCAGCCCCAAAGGCGGCTCGGACAGGATACTCGCGGAGGCGGGCGGGCACGGGAGGACCCCAGGCCTAAGCCGCCTGATGCCCGCCGGGATCGGCTTCTGGACCGCGAGCGATCGGTGAACACGGCTGCGGGCTCCAGAACCCCAGACGCCGAGCGCCCCGAGGGCAAAAAGCGTCGTAACGCGCAGCAGCCAGAGGCGGGCTCCACGCCCTTTCGAATCCGGAGCGGGGCTGATGACGAACACAGGGCGCGACGGACGCACACCCGCCCTGCGCTCGCACGACGGTGCGTGCGGGGAGCGCGAGGGAGACCCGGCTCGTCACCGGCGCGACCAGCGTTCCGCCTCCTCCGCTCCCTGCGCTCCCGCCACCTCGGCAACCCGGGGCCCGCCTCCCGCCTCCATCCGAGGCCTCCGCCGCTGCGAGGCTCACAGCTTCGTTCCCGTCTCTTTAAATGGTGGGGCCAGCGGGCCGCCCCTGCAGCCGCTGCCTGGGTGGCCCCGCGCGCCACTATTGAGGGGCGAACCAAGATGGCGGCGGCTTTGGCTCGGTGAGGAAGACGGAAGAGGCGGCGGCGGCGGCGGGATAGGGACTCCCGGTAGCCAGAAGCGCTCGTGCGCTTGGGGGGGCTCTCGGAGTCTCCCGCGCAGTGGTAACAGTTGCAGCGGGAACCGGCGCCCGTCAGCTTCGGGCTTTTGAAGCAGGCGAGTGGAGCACAGCCTCCGGCTGCGGTGGCAGAACCAGGTATAAGGAAGGAAAACATGGCGGCGGCGGCCTGAGGAGGCGGCGGCGGCGCGGGAAGCGGCTTGGCTGAGATCATGGCGGAGGCGGGAGCACGGCAGTGACCGGCGCCCCGAGTTCCTAGCGCGGCGGAGCGGGAAGCTGCGAAGCGCTGCACGCCCCGATTGGGGCGGCAGGGCTCCCCGGGCCTGGACAATAGCGCCGAGGAGCCAGAGGCGAGGAAAGGCGGGGACCAGAACTCGGCCCCGCGGCGGGCCATGCGTGCGGCAGCGCGGCTCCGGGGCGGCCAGCAGCGGCAGTGAGGCCGAGGAGCCCTCGGGTCGCGGGCGTGTTCCCGCCTTCCCCGGACCCGCTTCCCGGGCGACTCCGGCGGGGCCCGGCCCCCAGGCGGCAAGATGACCGACACCCGACGTCGGGTGAAGGTTTACACCCTCAACGAGGACCGGCAGTGGGACGACCGGGGCACCGGACATGTGTCGTCCGGCTACGTGGAGCGCCTGAAGGGCATGTCTTTGCTTGTCAGGGCCGAGAGTGACGGTGAGTGAATCCTTCGTCTCCCCGGCGTCCCTGGGCCACCTCCCCGGTTCTTTGGGGAAATCCTGGGCCGCTCCCTGGGAGGACGAAGAGGGCGGCTGGGCTGCAGCTGCCGCCTTCTCGGGGCAGAGCGGGCCCCGGCACCCCAGTACTCCCGTAACTGCCTGGCGAGCTCTCAGAGTGTTTCGGTCTCTGAGCGCCCGGTCGCATTTGAGCGGAGCTGCCTGGGAGTGTGGCGAGGTCGGGGACGTGGGCGCGGGAGTCCGGAGCGGGCCCGTTCCTGTGCACCAGAGTGACCTTGAGAAAGGTACTGATTAAACCGATCTTCTGCCTTAGTTCATCCATCTGTAGAGCAGGCATGAAACTTTTCTCGGAGCTGAGAAAGTTCTTAACAGTTTCGCTTTTTGGAACAAGAATATTTTGTTGTACTCCCCCGCCCCCCGCCCATACACATTATTACTGCTGCATCTTTCCGATCCTGTTGCAGGTTGGCAGCGCTGGTTCATGGATCTGGCAGCCCTGCACTAGGCAGAGAAAATATTAATTTGCCTAAGAAGATAGATGGGTGTTTC